CCTGATTCCGGCCCTGGTCCTAACTGTGTACCTGGCCACAAAACGGACAACAGCACATTAGTAAAAACACATYCGTAAATAAATAAATAAGAAATCAACTTAAAGTTGAAGTCTTTCCGATGCAGGCCTAAGTAAAATGGCCGTAGGGCCTCCAGCTTGCGATGACGCGACCTGGGGGCCCTTATCCAACCTCGGGTCCCGTGAGGGGCCCGTGTGGAGGCTCTCAGCATGTAACAGCTACTGTTTCAAGAAGTCACTTGCATACTTTGCTTTTTTGAGTGTTACCATGCAATGGTTGTTCAGGCCCTCAATCAGAATTGCAATAGTGCACAGGAGATGAGAATGACCAATGAGGAAAGCTCACTCAGACCAGGGAGTGTCCCAGTGTTCTTTCCAGTCAAGAAAGCATGGGCGTAGTCGTACATGAGGGCAGGTTAATGCTTTCCTAGCATGCACGTAGCACCAACGAGGCCTGACCTGACCCTGCTCGCAGTGGGACGGAATTCAAAGAAGAGTGTCCTGTGGGACCCCCCCAGAGCAGCCTTCTGCTTGCCATGTATGAAGGTACAATCTGATGTAAAACTGGAAGATGAGGACAATGCCTGCTGTATGTGAGACTACTTGACTTGCGCAATGACATCCATTGGATGCTTGTATGGGTGGGTGGGTGGATGATCGGATGGCGGATGCAGACACTGGTTGGATTCGCTCAAAAAATTCAAGGGATGCAAAACTGGCATAACATTATGATTGGAGGGAAGAGACTTCGTACACAGCTAGTGGAAGGCTCTTCCATGTGGTCACTCCTCACGACTGCATCATTTACCCCTCTTCTGGAGTTCGACTTTGTCGGTCTAGACATCTTCGAGGCACTTGACATGCCACAGGTATGCAGACTGGTTTGTTGCCGTAAAAGGTCAGATTGTGCGCACACCAGTTGCAAAACTTTGCTTGATTATGGATTTCAGAACTGAATGAAATGAAAAGTCAACATTCGGTGATCATTATGTACCAACAACTTCACACACAGCTTTTCGTATCTGTATGCCCCAAGGTTGAAGAAGTCAATGATAGCTGCAATCAAACATAATAGATCACAGTCAAATGTCACACATAGACACAATGTCTTTGTTTGTGAACGTCATTAAGTCCATGTTTCAATGAGTTTGCGTATCACCCATCTGTATTCAATGTATGGAATTCCAGCCTGACAGTCGCCTAGTGTGGAGGGCACAAACATCAGTCGAACTTTGTCTTAAATCACCAATACGTTTCCCGGCCATTTTCCTAAGATGTGCCGTGCATGCAGCTGCATCAGGCGGGATTTACCGGGGTGCCGTCTCACTCCAAATCCATCCATGCAAAACGGGTCTTGCAGGCAACCTGTTTGCCTGGATGGATTTCCTGTGAAACGGCACATCTCACCCTACGCAGCTGCACACACGGCGCGTCTTAGAAAAATGGCTGGGAAACGTACTGGTGGTTAAGTACAAATCCACGAAGCATTTCAATCAACCATGCAGGAAATGCATCTGCTGGATCTGAGATGTCAGGAAATGGCTTGTTCTCACGATCTCCCAAGGGTAAGGGACTGGAGTTTGAGTTAAGGAGGCTAGATCATTTGACATCATTATTGCTTATTCTGACAGGATTTGAAACAATGACCTGTTTACTGCAAGTTATACGGATGTCCCATTCAGCCAGCCTGTCAGTATGAAAGTGTAAGCAATGGATTCTCTGCTGTCAAATGCATTGGTTATCCTACCCTTGACATTGCCATCAACTGCATTCATTATCCTTGTTATGTGCCTGATTGAAACGGGATCCAACATGGCATCAACACGTTCCCATACACATGTGCAATGACAAGTGAAATTTGGAGGGAGCAATCCACAACTGGATGATAAGAATACTGCATGTCTCATGGAAAAACTGAGGGCCAACTCGGCCGCTCTCAGCCCAGGCCGAAACAGGGGCAAAAGACCCCACACGAGGACTCAGGGCCTGGACGTGCGGCAGTTGACTTTGGTCAACTGTCGGGGTCCCAACAGTCAAAGTCCAAAGGTACCTAGCCCAGGCCGCTGGTCAAGCACGCACACTTGTTTGTATGCAGGTACCCAGACAGAATCAGGTCCAAGGGAGAAGTCTGCAACTGCACAATCTGGGCCCTCAGCTGTGAGTCAATCTGGACGACTGTGGGAAAAGCACCCGAGGCCGGACAGCCTCGACCAATGCTACTTAAGGCTGGCCTCGAGTGAGTCAAGAATTCAGTCTTGCTATGCTGCTTTGACGCTGGCTCGACTTTGACTAGACGCTGGCATTATGCTCGCGCGACGCTGGCTACATGCTGACTGTGCGCAGGCGTTGCGGACGACAGCACGAGGTGGAGGCAGCATGCTGGCGCTTCTTCTGTGCGCCAGGCATGATGATGTGGCTCTGCTACTGGTCTACATTGCATGCTGATGTGGCGCTGCCTCTGGTCTACATTGCATGCTGATGTGGCGCTGCTTCTGGTCTACATTGCATGCTGA